CCGTTTCCTTCTCCTTCACCGTATCCATTCTTTTTTCCGTTTCCTTCTTCTTCACCGTATCCATTCTTTTTTCCGTTTCCACCTTCGTATCCACCTCTGCCTTCTTCTATACCTTTTCTATCACCATTTTCTTCGCCAATACCATCTATGAAAAAAATTTTCACGTCATACTTTGGAATAAAAGAAAGAAATAGCAGAATAAAAAATTGACTGCATTTAAAAAAATTTTTTTATTCTTTTTCAAAATTAATTTTATTAAAAAAAAATGGTAAGAAAATAGATTTTGGATGAAATTTTGACCAAATCATACAAATAGATAACAATCGATCATTTTATAAGTCATTAATTCATTCTAAATTACATAAATATAATGATAATCAAGGAATCTCGTATACATGCTGATCTATTTCGTCGCACGGAACGACTTAAACGCAATTGTTGAGTTTGTTCCATTAAATAATTCCAAATTGTATTGGACATTGCTTGATATTGATCACGATGTAATGTTAATTCCTCTTCCATTTGTGCTATATCATTTAAGATTACGGGAAATACTACAATTAATGCAACAAATGCTATTCCGCATGCGGAAGCTGCAATAGTAGCAGGACCATGCAATCCAAATTGCTGCATTATGCTGGAAATATGAAAGCAATTGAAATCGAAATATATTTAAATTTTCCAATATTTGGATATGAGTGTATTTTTGAATGACAAATGGGAAAATGATTGAATGAAAATTTAAAAGACTATCAATACAATAACACGTCTAAAAATTGAATGCCAATTTAATTCATGAACAAAAATATAAAATTCACAATGTAACATCGAATATAAATATCAATTGATTGCAATCCGGTTGTATTAATTTTTTTAACCTTTTGCTCCTCCTCTTTTTGCCCCCTTCTGTCCTCGTATTCTTTCTTATTTTCCGCAAAAAGGAGTTTAAATAAAAAAATCGGTCCAAATGATTGAATCAAACATCCGGTTGTTGTATTGTTTTTTTTCAGTCCTTTCTCTTCACTATTTCTCTCAATCCATTCATTTCATCTGAAATTCATTTTCTTCCAAAATGACACAGAAGTGATGAACGGTGAGGAAGAGGAATAAATTTAACATTAAAAAATGAGGAGAAAAAATTTCTGAGAAAATTTCAGGTTTCAAAAATAAATTTTTCCCGCAACAAAAAAGAAAGAAAGCAAGAAAGGAAAACCAATTAATCAAATTGTCAAATGTTTGATAAAATTAAATGTTGAAATCGTTGTTGAAATTTAAAAAAGAACGGAATAAGATTTTCGTATCTTTTTTTTTTCTTCCCCTCCACTTGAAAAAATGAAAAGTGAGTAAATGGAAGGGACTTCTTTTTTTCTGCTTTGACAAAAATGAGGATTGAAACGAATAATTGCTAATTATTTTCATTTTCTTTTCTTTTTTCAAATAGATGCATTTGTATTATTTACAAAAAAAGAAAAACAATAAGTAAATAAAAGGAATAAAATGATTTTTAAAAAGTGCATTTTTTTTTCAAAAAATTTTTCTAAAATAGGTCAATAAATTGGAATTTCATCAACATCATGCACAAAGGAATTTTTTTTGTAAAATAGAACGAGATATAAGTTAAAAAAAAAATGAGACTGTAGTATATTTATTATGACAAAGGAAAGAAATAAGAACTAAATTAAAACTGAATGACTGTGAAAAACTAAAATGCAATTACAAATTGAATTGGTATAAAATTTTCTAATTTTCTATTTAGTTTCTTTTTTTATTAGTTTGAAAATTTTAATATTATCTCTAGCTTGTATGAATTTAATTTCTATCTTGCGGATCTCTGTTCTTCCAATAAAAGATTAATTAAGAGAAATAAGAAATTAAAAAAAAAAAAACAATAGTTCGATGAAACATTCTGAACAGCTAAGAAAAGAACTAAAGAAGGATTCTGAATAGCGAAGAAGATATTCTGGACAACAAAAAAGGGATTCTGAGTAATGAGAAGGAGGATCCGAATATTGAGAGGAGAGATTCTAAATTGTGAGAAATTGTTAAACGAAATATTCCATAAATTTTTATTGTTAAAACATCGAGTATCCCTGAACGATCCAATATTTCATTTATTGAGCAATTATATTGGTTCGTCGATTATTAGTGATAATCTCAAAAATAGATAAACATGTAAATATAGGAATTGAAAATTGAAAAATGATAAAATGGATTCCACTTGCGCAATTCATACTTCAGTACATATCGCAATGTTAATTTCATCCAATTTATTTTGCAGATTAAATCTTTAAATTTTTAATTAAATAAAGCATTTCTACTTTGGGGAACGTATTATATTTTTTTTCTTTCATTTTTCATTTTAGTTTACTGCTAAAATTAAATATATATTTTTATTGCTAAAATTTAAATATATATTTTTGAGAAATCAAAAAAGGAAAGGAAAAAAAGACATGAAACTTTTGAAAATAGTATTCTTGATCCTAATTAGCAGAAAAATAAAAAAGAATATCAAAAGAGAGAAAAAATCTCGGGATAATTTTGAACATAAAAAGCAAGGCAAAATGAATTTCTCGTAAGAAAAAAAGACGAATTTAGCAAAATATACCTCAACATTGCAAGATATTTTGCATTAAGCTTTTTAGTCAGAAAAGATTAATTTTTCACACACAATGATTTGTGAAATATGACTAAATAAAACTTATGATAAAAAAATTAAAATTGTAAATTTTAACATCTTTCGCTGTAAATTTCAAAAAAAAAAAATAGATTGTATTTACATTACAACAAAAATCGGCCGATCTTTAGAAGACAAAAAGAAGGATAATAGATGGCCGTTGCCGTAATTTAGTAATTAACATGTGAATATGATAAATTTTTATATACACACAGAATTTATCACAAGTCCACTGATTTAATCGAATATTATCTCATCTAAATTCTTCAAGCACAACAAATATTCAAGTATCGGATTAGTTTTGGTAAAAACAAAAAAAGATATATGAAAAATTTATAATATCTTCACTTTTTCTTTTCAAATGGCGTGTTTCAAAAAAAGTGAGAAATTCTCACATGTTTAAAAGATGCTAACGTAAATATAAATAAGTTATTTACAGGGCATTTGTAATCTTTCAACAATAGTTAAAATCAAATTGTTGAAACTTATATTTTTCACTCCCCTATCTTATCATAACATCATTAAAAAAATAAATACTTTATATATATATATATCACAGAAATAATGAACATGCATTATTCCTCTAAGAAACGATTCAATATTTTTGGATGCATTTCTATCCACATTATTTGTCAACAAGCAATTTACCTAATTTCCTAAATGGGAGTTTATCAAGAAGACATTTTGAAAGCAAAAATCAAATCAGATAAAGAATTACACCTAAAAATTATTTATGCTTATAAGTTATTCAACTTGTCCATTATATATTTAAGTATTGTTGTAACATAAATTCTGATAATTTTTTTTGTCTGGGCAAACAAAATTCATCGTATTCATCTTTCATCGCTGCTTCCAGAACTGGATTAATTATGGAAAAAAAAATGACAAACAAGCATAGTATTTGCAGCATTGTATTTTCTTACTCATTCGTTATAACATATCATTACAATCGGCAAAATTTTAACAATAAATATTAATTAACAAAATAACAATAAAACTTTCAAAATTGCATAACATAGCACTGTTCCACATAATATTTTCACCTAAATGGCATTATGCTTCGATATGAGCTAAAGTTTATTTCAAATGGCAACTTATTTTAGTTTTAAATTTTAAAAGGAACAAAGATAAGTCACAATGCACAAGAGTTAAAGGTCAATTCCAAAAGATCTGGTTTTGGAATTATTTATCGAAATGATGGAGTAAAAATTAACTGGCTTATTGCTTGTTTTCCACATCATTATTATAATATCGTTCGATTTCTTTTCGCAATGGTTCATAATAACTCCAGTCGTATTTCGGCTTTTTTGGAAATAATATTTCTGGTAAACCACGTGCTCTCATTCCCTCCGTTTCCTTCCATATTTCATAATCCTTTTCTGTATCCAGAACATTTGTTATAAGACATAATGGAATTGATATCAAACCAGCAAGCCTATAATGATGAGTATGCTATTTACATTACTTTCAACTATTTGCAAAAAATATGATCAATTAAATTATTACATTCATCAGAAAATAATTAATGATAGTTTAGAAAGTTTTTAGAACTTTATCAAGAACGTCAATGTTTTATTTTTCATATGAAAATGATCAATACTTACATGCCAACACGTAGATTTCCTGTAATACCGTAGAAAAATAAATTTGATAGGGTAAAGCTAACTACTGTTGATATAACTGTAACTGGAAATCCTGGATCAGCTTGGAGTTTTTCCTGAAGAATGCATTTGGCATTCATAATGATATAAAGATTTTTAACAGTGTGATGAAGGTGAAGGAAATAATTTTGGTGCACTTTCATTTGTAAATGTTATCTGATTATATCATTCATACTGCTAGTAAAAATGAAAAACAATAACTAGAAAAGTAGAAATAATAACAATCACTTTTTAAGAATACCGGAAACCATCATTTAACGGATTCAATGACAATTGCTAAACTGTTATTTGATTCATTCTATTATTACTGTGTTCTTTCCTCTTCCACATTTTCAGTTTCTGAATCAAAGTTTGTAATTATAAAGTTTAACCTTTAAGCCAATCTTACGTAGAGGTTGAACTTCAATAGACTCATCATCTTTTGCGGACATTCTTTAAAATTTTTGTTACATTTCATAAAAAACAGCAATCTGAAAAAAAAAAATCTGAAAATTACACAAAGCAAAATTTCCCGTATCATTGCGAACAATTCAATCGGAGCAAAATATATACTAAAAAAGAAATGACATTCGAAGAAAATTTTGTTTTCTTCATTGGAAAAAAAAATGCTACCAGAAATTTATAATATATTTTTCATCTGAGAAAATATTAAACTTCACAATTAGCGATAAATTACACTATTTAAATGTTTTATTTAGATAGGCATGTTTTGAATGAAACTGTTACTTGTTTTGAATAAAGTCTAAAAAATTAAAAAACTTAAAATAAATCGAACCGCTGTAAAATTTCAAATAACGAAAACAAAGTTTTGGTTTAGCAATTAATATATGTTACAGAATTTCCCACACTCAATACAACAAAGATGCAACCATACTGTAAACATCCTTCCCAAATATTAATCACGTGCATTATGTTTCCAAATACGCTATCAATAATTGATTCCTAATAATATAAAAGCATTTATAATATCAGTATATTAACGAATTGATAATTACTTCGAACTAATATAAACTTTTTATTTAATTAATTGATGAAAGAGAATAGGAAAATACATCATCCATTTAAAACAAACATACAATGTTATTTACGAATAACAGTGAAACGTATCAGTATGATACTTCTTCATAAAATATTGTCCTATTTCTTAACCAAATAATTTTTCTCATATGATAGTTTTTCCAATCAAGAATAGATGATAAACGAAAAATCCCAAAATACAGAGGAATATGCTTATATAAATAAAGTATTTTGCTCCTTTTCACCGAAATCCACAAAAAAAAAACAAATGATCAATAAACAGTCAAATTATCAGATAAAAGGTTATAATTAAAAATAATTTAAAATGTAAAATCGTTTCTTAATTTAGCAGCCAGTATTGTATAATTCTCAAGATTGCAACTATGATAAAAAAAAAAATTTATATCATCTACCTTACAGACTAAAAACAATAAAAATGAAGAAATAACATTTTGCATTAGCTTAATCCAAGAAAGAATAAAATTGCTGTTGCTTCAAATGTATGAAAAATAAAAATTAGTTGGGAAGTTTTTTTTTTTTTTGTCTTCATTAAAACTGGATAAGAACTAGTCTTTTGTAAAAATTTAAAAATTTCAAGAAAGAGCAGTAATAATAAGGCCTATAAGAAAGAAATAAAATGTAAAAATAAAATTTTCCTCTCCCGCTATCCCCGAAAAAAGTAATGTTCGGCCAATATATTATCACAGGCCTGGATAACACAGGAAACAAGAATTGTAGGCAAAAGGAGGTTCAAGCAATTAAAAATCAATTTAAATTTTGAGGTGATGACCATTATTACAAAGAAATAGGGCAAGCATAACAACATTAAATTGTTTTTTTTTTTCAAATGAAATATGAACTTTTCATACTTTTCATAAATACTGAAAATGTTCATGAACATTTAAAAAAAACTTCATAGAAAAAAACAATTGTGAAACGATACTAAAACAGAATTAACAAAAAAAAAAAATTCTGAGCTTTCCTGTAATAATAGAATTTGAAGACTATGTTTATGGCAAAAATAATGATTGATAAATTTGATGAATGAGAGAACTTCAAAACAAGAAATCGCTACTGTACTAAAATCTAATAAAACAGAGAAACAGCGAAAACGAATGTAATAATAAGCATCCAGTATAAAACGCATGAAGCAAAATGATGAAATCAAGCAAAAAAAAAAAACTAAATGCTAAAAGAAAACTTCAAAATAAATCCTTCAATACGATCCAGATAATTTTTTTGAAACTGTCTTGAGTTTTTGAAACTGCTTTTATTTTATGATTTTTTTAAAATTGTCTTGGAATTTTAAATTTAGGCTCCAAAAAAAAGTCAAATTCAGCATCAGTCATTGTCCTTAATTTCTGAAAATTTGCCGATAGTGTCTAGAAGAAGGCGTATGCAACAAATTAATCGAAAAAGAATCTATTTGGTCTTTATGGAAAATTTTAAATTGCATGAAAACGAACACATGTTTTTCCTCTTTAGATAGATATTTTTTCTTTTTTATCATCGGAAAGAAAAACAAAAAAGACAGGGAAAAAGGCACTCTTTGCTAGTTCCTATACACAAATAACAAAAACGAAATTCAGAAACGAAAGAACAGTCTTTAATTAATGAATCAAAGAAAAATCAAAATCTTTGAACAGCATCTGGTCAGCATCAGTAATGAGTCGCTTGTCTTTCGCTGATGAAAAGCGCGGTGTTTCTTTCGTAAATTCTTCATCAAAATTGCTGACATCTTCCAGATTCTTCTGAAAACAGTTTTTCTCCGAGAAGAAAATTCACAAAACTAATTTAATATTCTCAGCAATCAGAATTGTCCATTCAGTTAAAAATGACTCATAAAGTGCTTACAAAAACAAAAAGTAAGAAAAAGATCAACATACAATTTGTGGAACAAATTTCGGCCTGATTTCTTTGTTCAAAAGCTTATCCCAATCCCAATTCACATGCTGCAAATAGTCAAAATACAAATTTTTTTGCAATAGACTCACTCTTAACATTAATGAAATACAAGGCGTATCCGAGAATTATTAAGACTGACAAACATGAATAACATGAGATGTGATTTTTTTTTCAACATTTCAATATTTTATATACTCTTCAAAACATCATATTTAAATAATGTTTGTTATACTCAGGAGAATAGAATACGAAAAATCACGTCCTACTTTTTTAAATCTCAAAGCAAAAGGAAGAAAACTAACATAGGAATCATTAAAAAAATGACTTAGAAAATTAATTGCATTGCTATATTGAAAGAAAACTTCAATTGAAACCTTGAAAAATCGTTGCTGCTTTACATCGAGGGCATCATTCTGTCCAGAACCTAAACGTTTCTCAGGATTCTTCCGCATAAGCTGAAATAAAACAGAATTCTTTATGAACTTGTTCTGAAATTCTAGAAATAATCATGTAAGAAAGACGTTAATGAGTATTCTTACAAACATCCTTGAAGATAAATAAAAAAACAACAGATCGAGTTGTTGTTAGGAAGTACAAAAGTTGAGCTGAGAAGTAACATAAAATTTTTTCTAGAATTTCGGTATTTGACTGAAAATTTAATGATGTTTAGTACTATATCACTATCCACAATCTTTTTTTTTTTTGGATTTTATTCGCCAATAAGGACATACATTACAGATCGCAAAATTTTAAGAAGTTAAAAAAAAAAAAACTTACTCTTCTCATAATTGAAATACTTTCAATAGAAAGAAAACGTGGATAGCGTACATCATCATTTACAATGGAATCAAATATCTCCTCCTCATCTTCACCGGAAAACGGTGGCTGTAATATTTCTATGTATATAATTGGCAATAAATTTCTTCAAATTAACATAAAAAGATAATTTAATTTTTTTGATTTTGTAAGTTTCGAATAAGTTTCTTAGTTTATATGTTGCAATTTGCTGAAACAAATACAACAATCGAAAAAAATTGTAGATCACACTTACTTCACCCACCAGCATTTCGAAAATCAGCACACCAAGCCCCCACCAATCAATTGCACGAGTATAACTATTCTCAGTTAATACCTAAATGATAAAAAAGTTTTTTAGACATATTTGAATTGAAGAGCACATTTTGTGTCCGCATATACGAATTTATCAAAGTCACGTCCATCAAGTGCGATCACATAATTTATGAAATACTGACGTAGTCGGAAGATGATATATAAAAACAAAAAATGACGAGAAAGAAATAATCATAAGCAATATTAATCAGTCCTATATTTATAAAATGTTATAAAAGATGATTTCCTTAAAAAAGCTCTATAAAATTAATGACAAGGAAACCTCAGGTGCAAGAAATTCCGGAGTACCGCAAAACGTTGAAGTCCTATCAGTTGGCCCCATACCTTCTTTACATAAACCAAAATCAGCTAATTTCACATAACCTTCTCGATCCAGCAAAAGATTATCCAATTTGAGATCTCTAAAAAAAATGATATGAATTTACAACATTCTTTCTAGAAAACCTACGCTAATTCCCTATTTCATATAAATTCTTTTAAGATAATCCCAGTTTTTCAGTTGTCCACACTACACCCAAACATTTTTATTTCAAGTTGTTCCTTAATTCAAAAAAAACTTTTTTTTTAAAAAAAAAAACTATCCTCACCTATAAATGATATTATTAGCATGCAGGAATTCAAGTCCTAACAAAACACATGCTGCATAAAAACAGCTTCGTTCTTCGGTAAAAATATCATCATGTATATGTCGCATAAGATCACCACCCATCGAGTATTCCATAACGAAAAAAACATGTTCTTTTGACTGCATACATGCGAAAAGATTAACGAGAAAAGGATGACGACGAGACGTTGCAATCTGAAATGAAACGAGTAATTGAATATTCAAAATGCAAAATTTCACCAACTTATCAAAAAAATATCAGAAATGATTTGTTCCCGTTGACTTAGAGCTGTAACTTCATTGGAAATGTTTTAATAAAGCTCTAAATCATTTAAGAAATATCAATAAGCAGATGCTACTAAAATAATACTAAAAAAATCAGATTGAAAATGGTAATGCATGCCTCAAAAATCCTTTTTTCAACCATCAATGATTCTACTTCATCACGACCAAGCACATCACCCTTTTTCAGCACTTTCAACGCATAATATTCGCCATTTCCTTTATACTTCGCAAGTATAACCTATAAGATTATTTAAAGTTTTCAAATACAAAATAACTCGTTTAATTAATAAGACATTAAAAAGAGAGAAAAAAAGCACAAAGTAAAAGAAAGCAAAAATAACTGTTTCCGAAAGATAATTGTTGCCACCAGAGCAACAGAAGCTCAAAATTTTTTTAAGAAGCTGAAACTAAGTGCCATTTTTTGTATACATTCAGTTTTTTCATTTTCCACCTTACTTACAGCCATTATTATATCTTACCCTGTCTCCTTTCAAATATTACTATATATACCATAGATGAATTACTATGATTGTCATAAAAACGGTATGTTGTACATTGAAAACAAACTTTTCCGAAATGCCCTCTTCCTAAAACGGAAATAAGGTGAAATTTGTCGATTGTAAGACTAGAAATTGCAGGTGAAGTGATTCGTGACGTCCTTCTATGTGTCAAGGGTGGCGGTTTGGATGTTGGCAAGGGTGGTGGAGATTCGATGCGAGATGCCACAACTTGAGTTTTTGGAGATGGTCGAGATGGTATCACTGGTGGTATCTGAAAATGGTTTTTTTTTTAGAATAAAATGACTTAATTCGGATCAGTATGAACTTCAACCGGCAATTCCCACTGTTTATTCACTAAATATATACTAAAGAAAACACATATAGTTTGCCTTCCAAAAGTTCTATTTTGCTCAATCCTTTTCAACTGTGCAAGGTGCATGAACATTCATATTTAATTATCGCCTATTTGGGACTAAATACTTGATATTATTAAATATTCCAGATCGAAGAGATTAAAGAAATAGAAAGAGAGAAAAGAAATTAAAACCTTTGGTTGTTCATAGAATCGTTGGTTTTGTTTTGTTTTCGACATTTCTGAAGAATCTCCAAAACGTATAGAACTAGGAAGAAGAGAAGGAAGTACTGGTCGCATATGACTACTTTCTGGTGCAAATAATCCAGAAGTCGATGAAGTTAGAGGTCGATCTACAGTCAAACGCGATGGTAATGTATGAGCACTCTTTGCAACTGGTGGCAAAGGAGCTGAAGTAAAAAAATTTTTAGTACTGACTAGAAATAACTGTTGTTGATTTATTCCAGATGCATACTTAATTTAAAACTGCAACTTAAAGCTTGCTGTCATCAAAAGTCAAAATCTGTAAATGGAAATGTTTTTAAGTAAGAGTTTATGGAAATAAAAAGGAATAACATAGCAATATTATAGCGAATTAATAAAATTTAAGTGACAAAAAGCTTGTTCATTATAAATAGAAAACAACAATAGTTACCAGTGGCTGTAGTATTAGCAGCGGTATATAAACCACCGTATGTCGGGCTTAAAACTGGCTCGATACTTTCATTCGACTGTGAACCTCCAAACTGCTTCATTAAGCGGCTCCATGCGGCAACACCAAGCTGCTTCTTCGCACTCGCTATTTCCTTCCTTTCTAAAACATGAAAAAATAATAAATCATTTTTTAAATATGATGTACTCCGTCGTCTTTCACTGCAATCCATTCAATTGAAAAATCCCAATCAAAAGAAAGAAGGAATAAAGTTAAAATACGGCGAGAATCTTCAAACGGTTTAAATAAGTCACAAGAATACTATCATTACTACCGTATAGCAGCTTAATTTTTAGCTTCTCAAACAACCGACGGATAAATTGAAGAATGAAACAAACTGCGCTAACAATCAGAATTTAGAGTTCGAAATGGTTAGGAAATGTAATCACCGAAATTTACATAAACTTGTTAGATATAAAACTGTAATACGCTGGGAATGTGTCAATCATTATTTTTAATAATGTGCAATTTGGAGATATATTCATATAAGCTCAAGGAAGAAAAAAAGTAACGTGCCGATAAAAATTTAAGAGCTTCCAAAATACCTTTCACTCTGAAAAGACGCTTTTGTCGTTCAAGCTTAGGCTTCCTACTAACAACTGGATTCAAATATTTGAACTGAAACATAAAACTATTTGCTAAAGATAAAATAAAACAAATGGAACTACAAAGAAATTGAGAACTAAATTAAAATCAAAAATTAGAATGTAAAATCATTCCCTCCTTTAGAATTCTTTATTCATTCCTTTTACGGTATTACCTGATAACATAAAATTGAGCATGACAATACTTAAAGTTTATTTCATCAAATAAAATAAAAAACAAGTTAATACAAACCTCAGCAAACAAATCTCCTTGAGGTTCCAGGTTCAGTACCATGCCAGCTCGTTCCGATGGTTCGACTATATCACCTAATTTGACAACTGTAAATGCACAAATGGAGCGCCAATCACGATACCGAATTTCAATTTCCAGTTCTTTTGACTGAAAATGTATCGCACTGTCGAACAAAGAATTTTTAATAAGGTATAGCCAACTGAGCTATCTCCAAAGAGGCAAAATTTTCATCTCAACATAAATATTCAATTATACTTTCTACTTCGTTAACAAAAATCTCACTCTAATCCCCACTTTCCAGTTCTTATTTTAAATCCTTTATTGCAAATTTTATGATCATATTTCATTTAAGTTTCACCCATTTCAGAAATCAACAAACCCTATCTAAATCGATACTAAAATGCTGATCCCATGCTTGTTGTGAAACTGGCCGTGAATCAGTGCTAGCCACTTCACGGCTATCTAACAAGACTGTTGCCGTAACTTCATCATTTGGCGAGAGCTTTGCTGTTCCGCTAAAATACAACTTGATCCGTTCACTATAATTTTAATTTACTCGAATATTAGATAAAACATATGAAACATGATAAAGTGTAAAAAATTGATTATCCAAGTCTAGCAGATACATAAAATAACTAAATGAATCACCAAATAAATATGTAATGTATTTGAAAAATCTATCCTCATTCTGAAAACTCTTAGACCATGCTTAATTTTTGCTAGTTAATTCCATTTTAATATTTAACGACTTTTAAAGGTGATAACTTTCTTGCTCATCCTCTTGTGATTTTTAATCAAACGAATTCATCTCGCAATTTGCAGGAAACAGTACTGCAAAACTTCATTCCAGTGCAAAAAAAACAACAAGTGACAGGTATGTTTTAATCAAATAAGGCTAAAATTAAGCATCTCAACAATAATATACTCTGAAACATTTATAGCATGAGGTGGCAGATAGTGCAAAGCAAAAATTTAGTCAGGTGCTGTGATTTCTTCTAATAATTAACATAGATAACCCATCAAGTGCCCACAATTTCTCTATCAGTGCATGAATTTAAACTTTAGATTTCCTTATAGCTTCGAAATATTCCATGGATGCATGCATATAAGATTCGTCGAATACTAGGAAGTGTTACGAATATAAACATATGTATAATTTTCTTTTAAAGAAAATTATTTTAAAGAGTAAAAAATGGTCATAATGTGTGGACATTACACAGCAATATAGAATATTCATATGTTAAGTCCGGTGAGATAGTCAACAAAAATAACTGTAATAGCTACATCAGTAATTGCAAGTATTAATATATCATTAACGATAACACACGAAAGATAAAAACGTAAAAAGTAATGAGAAAAACATACAATGAATCTGTTGCTGCGCTGGACGAAGAACACCACACTGATGACGATCTTGTCCTAAAACATAACGTAAAAAAAACTGTGCTTACAGCAAACAAGCATACTAGAAGGTTAGATTCTGCACACAAATCAATTAGTCAGTGAAAAAAAGGAAAAAGAAAAAATAAGCATTATTGGACATATATAAATTGCTAATCAAAAAAATTATGGAATCGATAATTGCAGAAGCCAGTGCGGACTTAAAGTAGAAATATCAGAATCATTTGCTGCACAAAGAGCTACAGTAACAATCGAGTCGTTTACTTGTTGACCCATGGAAATCCTGACAAAATTGTGAAAAAAAATTTTGGTTCATTAAATTTTTAAAGATAAAAGACCATCTTCTTTGTTAGAATTTATCTTCTCAATTTTTTTTCACAAACAGATTAACGTTTAAGCAGATACTATTCTGTGAACGGATATCCTATTTTAGCTAATTTTTTTTGCTATGTAAAACAAGCAGAGATAGGTTCGTTACAGTGTACTTTACGAAATTTGTAATAATATCAAACTGACTTGAGTAAATTTGAGAAATACAAACGAAGTAAAGCAGAAAAAATTGATTTAACTCATTAATTCGTTTTCGGGAAAGCAATGTAAAGCTTAATTTTTTTCTTGTTTAATGTTTTTCATTAATCTAATTTCTATTCAGATTCTACTGGATCAAGATTTTTCATTCGATCAATTTATATTTATAACGCTAACATTTCTGACAATATATCCGTAAAACATGTAGAAATCTTTGCTGAAATCAACCAAAAAATTTTTTTTTAATTCATATTCAAATACTCGACAATTATAGCATCGATATTTGGAATGCTAATAGAATGAATATGAGAAGCTTAGAGCTGCCTTTTCACCTTTATGATGCACCTGTCGAAATTTCGTCTTTTTGCGGTATTTTGCCGAAGAAAGAAAAGTACAACATACCTTGATGTTCGTGGACCATTCCCACGCGTGTTACGTGTTTTCTGCGTGAAACCAGACAAACTGTCACCAGCAGTTGTAACCACTGATGAGATATCTGTTCGCGGTAAACGACGAGGTATGTCGACCATCAGATTTTGACAGCCAATTAATCTAAAAACAAGAAAACCTTAGAAATGAATATATTTAGAAGTAAAAATTTGCCTGCTAACTTTTTATCTTTTAGTTAACAAAATAACTACCTACTTCCCCCAAAACTGTCCACTATTCCAGTTTCTCTCCTATCTATTACGCTTATGCCTAATAAAAAAGTTATAAATTATAACTTCTACCTTACTTCCAGACGTCCACTAACAGCTAATGATGGCAATGCATAAAGCCGTTTCAATGAAAGCGCTAAACGTGGTAAACTTGCAGATTTTGAATCATCCTGCAAAAGAATAACAAACATGTTAAACAGGTGGAAGACCAGTACATCGAATAATATTGAATAACTTTAGCATTTCCAGCTAACTCAGATCGTTGTAGTACTTAAACAGATATATAAAAAATAGATATAAAATGAATGATCCTTACATGCAGTAATCTCAACTTTCTAACATTTAAGATGAAGAGCCAAATGCATACTTAACCTGATCAAGAAATCAGTCTCGTGATGTGAATCCTTTTAAACATTTGTATAAATTTGCCTACTATTTAGAAGACTTTGAATAAGAAAATTAATATCTATGCAAAAAAGGTGCATATTGACTTTGACAGATTTTGTAAAAAGGGATGCGCAGTTAGAAATTTGACATAATGAAAACTAATTCCAATCTTTTAAAAATGTCACGTAAAGAATGAATTTTTAATTTATACACACTGAAAACAACTAGATTTATAAAAAATATACTGTAAGCGTTGATGTAGAAAAAATATATTACAATAGAATAAAAAAACAGTGCCTGCAGGAGTAAAATCAAACCTGTGATGGACTTCCAGGAGCAGAGCTTGGTGGACTGAATGTTCCATCACGATGATGATGATAATGACCCGTGAGAGGTAAGCGCTCCGATTCCAAAATGGCGTCACGAATTTCATTTTTTTTTGGCGAATCGTTTGGTAACCGTGCACTAGAGGAAGTAAAAAAAAATTTTTTCCTATGATTTATCATAAATGATACCAAATATAGAAAATGGTTCTATATTTTTTAAATCAAATTTGCAAATGCTATAAAAACTCAGTCGATTAATCACTAGTATTTTGATAACCAATAACGAATTATACCGTGTAATATGTCAAATTTTATTTCGAGCTTCAGATTATCGGTGTAATACCAAGAACTAGAATGACAGAATGTTTTTAAACATTAGAAAATGGCAAAATTCCCAAAAAGGCAAGCTAGCATACTGCGAAACAAAGAAAATATTAATATTGCTTTCGACACATATTAATATTTTCATTGTTTGAAATTTCAAATAATTAATTACCTATACTTGGCTAAAGCTAATCGTATAAGGTCAAGTTTTTCCTCGGATTGCATCTGATTATCGAAAGCCTGCGAAAGACTTTTCCCATCGCTCTTTCTTTGACTACTCAGTATTCTGAAATGAAAATTAGTTCACGGAATACAAGGAAAAATAAACCTATTTCCCGAATTTTCGAAGACGAATTTTAGTTCGCTTTTAAATCTACCTGATCATATTTCGAGCTCCTTCGGCAATTGCAGCTTCTTTACGCAGCCTAAACAGAAGATCATCAACGATCATTTCTGTCTTTGTTGGTATCGTTTTACCTGAAAAAAATAAGAAATATAAAGTTAATTAATAATCATCTTTTCATGATGTTAAAACTGCATTAGCATCTTTCTTCCTTTTATGACTCAAGTAAATGCTCATCACAAGTTCGCTATTTGCGTCTATCTCTGAATAGCTGAGTAAACAGAACGACAAAATAGAGGAAAGAAAAAGATAAAAAAAGATAAAAAAGATTTTTATAACAGTTATTTCCATTTAGAGCAGGATATATTTCTAAATATACAGAAAAATAAAAATTTATGAAAATGTTTCATTATGTTACACACCGGATAAGCCAGCATCAACTTGCTCCTGTCGTTGCATTTTTTCGATTTGCATTCGAAGTAGTGCAATTTTTGCTTTCGAATCGAATAACATACTCTTTGATTCTTCTTGTAATTTACGATTTGTTTGACCGATAGCAAGGAAACGTTCAAGACCATCTTTCACTTTCATTTCTTTATCCAACTCTTTCTACAATTACAAAATATTTAACTGTATTTAGTAAGCAAAGAAAAAAACAATTGATATTTTTCTTTTATTCATCAGCTGTTTAAACATCATTTTGCAGTGTTTCGAGAATCACTCTTAAATATGATAAGGTTGTCCAGTTCAAAATTTTACAGTAATTTCGATATTTTACCAACGAATGCTAATTGATATGCTCATTCCGATATGTAACATAGATACTCAATCAAGCACCCACTAAACAGCTACCGTCTAATTTCTAAGATCATGCTTCGGAATTAATCCAGAAAATGGCAATTAGAGCATCCATTTTAATGAAACTGAATATAATTTTCATAGTTTTCACTTACTATTTGCTTACTATGATACCGTGAACTGTTAATTTACAAAAAGGAAAAGAAATATGACCTGCAAACTAGTAAGCCGGCTATTAGTCACAGTTTCCGAATTTTCGGCACTTAATTCGAGACCCGCACCATCAGATGAACCATCTGCCGTTAAAGCGTCTTCTGAAGGCGAATTTGGCATACCATTTATATCATCACCATCATCTACAATAACGGAAGTCTTAAACATTGAATATACAAGCACACATATCAATTTCACTGTTCTGGATAGTGGATATAATTCGTTACCGGAAATCTTGTAGGTGTAAAATATTATGTTAGTCTTAAAATCTATAATTTATAATTTTACTGTTTGATCATATTACACCGAGATTTCAAAGTAATTTTTCAACGAATACACTCAAGTGACAATTATTTTTGATCTTGTACCAGCAGCTTATAATCACACTGCCTTCCTACTACGGCCAAATAGCCGTAGTAGGAAGGCAGTGTGATTATAAGCCAGCTTATCCTTCGTTAGTAATCGAAAAGCTTCAGAAACGCGCATAAGCTTTCCGCAAAAGAATTCACATATGAATTGGCAAAAGAGTCCTTAAAATTATATCGATCCTCATTATTCATGATGTCAACAGAATTTTTGAATAATATAGGCAAAATATTCTCATTGAGCAATTTTCGAATCAGAAATATTGAAATTTTCAGTAGATCTCATTCTCTTTATGAGTTTATTTCCTGCATATGCATGGAGAATTTCTTTTTCTTCTTGTTGATAAAAAGGCCAGAATCTTCTAATACTTAACAAATGCATCCTCATTTAAATTTCGATTCTCTCTCTTCTAAATGAAGTTTTCCAATACTCCTTTCCCTGATTTTGCCTTTTCATTAAATTTTAAAGTACTAACATACCAGAATTAGAGCCATATGTGTAGGCAAAGGAAGTGGAAGAAATAGCCTGGCATAAATATTCTACACGCACATTCAGAACTAATTAAACGTCTTCACAAATCTATAAAATCCGAGATTTTAAATCTCAGTATACTTTTTCCTCACTGATGTCTTCTATTTTGCTTTAAATTTTCTATTTCATTTTTTGTGATGGATAACAGAGATATTAAAACTGCATAGATTTCATGCGTTATGGTAAACTACGTCAGCATTTATTGAAATTTGATCACAAATAACTCATACTCTTTTTTTGACAAAAGAAAGAAAGATATAAGCATCAATCCATAAAGCTTTCAATTTCTGGAGGGAATCTTCCCATTTCACATGTCTAAACTCATTAGATACTGAGGTAATAAAATAGAAGAACGATGGAAAAGCTTACCAAATGCACCACTGTCATACATGTCCAATGTTTGCAAATCGTCTTTCATATCACTGATCTGATCACTCAAATCTCGGATTTCTTTTTTCAGAAAATCTGATTGCTTCCTTTCTTTTGTCACTTTCTACAAAACGTCAAATGGAGAAAGGAATACAATTCTGCGCATTCTACTACATACTTCAAAAGTGTTCTATCGGAAATTTTATCAACTCCTAAGCACTTTTCCAAGACTTAAAATTTTTACCCAATTCGTAATGAGAGGAATAAAAAAGCATAGACCAAAAATATGATAAAAAAGAAAGAGATCAGTGTTATGAGATCATTATTATCATTTACATAACGTTTCACATTTTGGAATCTGATAGTTTAATTCATATTTGGATTAAATTGAACAGTAAAATTGATGTGATGGCAATATTTTACAAAGTACGAGAACTTTGTACCTAACATTCATATTGTTTTTATACCTATGACATAAATGATACATGGCATTTCTTAAGTAAAATAGGAAAAGAAATCCCGTTGTTTGAAACCTGTCTTCTTCATTTTTTCAAGGATATTATAGCCAAATGTATGAATAAATTCTCATTTCATGAATATATAATGAGATTATTAGTGTAATATGAAATTATCTGATCGAATGCTTAATTATCTGGAATAATTCGAATCATTAAGAAGTCCCTAAATCAAATTTACCTGCATTTGCACGTATCCTTGCTTAATACGCATTTGTTTGTTACATGAGGTGCGTATTTTCTTCTTGAGTTCAATCACATCTTTTTGCAGTGATTTTTGCTCACCAAAACTAAATGTATACTTATCGGCAAGAAGGGCAAGCTCTTCCGGCACTGCTGTATCATTTGAGCTGCAAAATAGAAAATCATGAAGCAAGGAGAAAGTTTTGAACTTATGAAACAAATACAAAAATACAAGACGTTAATAACTCCAAAAACGTTATCGGGTAAACAGATAACATTTTTGAAGTTAGAAATTTTTTACACTAAAATTAAAGATTATAAAAGTTAAATAACAGCAAATTAATATAAGTGAAATATTTAAAATTATAAATTTTTCAAGTAAAATACACTTCATGTCAACAATAATAGCAGAAACATTTTTCGAATTATAACCGGAAATTAATACCTGCATGGATCTCCCTCACTTGATTCCACAATGTGCTGCCATGAGATTGGATCCGGACGAGCAACATCGGCCATAATGTTATGCTGATAGTCCTAGTAGAAAAATAATTACTTTCAATAAAATGACAATATGAATGAGTGAAAAAATGGACTAGTAAGGACAGCATAAGTTTATACGATTCGCATGAAAAGAAAATTTGGATAAAGTACGAAAAGCAGAATAAAAAAAAAAATTACTTGAACCTAACAATAGGAACGATACACGCCTTCAAATTTTGATCTTCACAAGTAAATCAGCAAGTATCCAAAAAATACGGACAATAATAATAGCAGCGCTGGAACAGGATGGAAATCACCATCCACTCCCTTCAGTGTGGTGCAGTTGAAAAAATCACAAATTCACAACAGTATAGCTTTTGCTTCTCTGGATTAAAATAAAAGTCTAAAATAAAAACTTTAAGAATACTTCAAAATTACAAATCATCAAATGACAGCGCACAATCAACGAAAGGATGTTGGATAAAAGAGAGAGAGAATGAAAAAAAAAAATGCGCCGCGTACAAAATCACTTGACAATGACATGATTTCGATATGCCGGACTTTGAACTTCAAACTTTTAATGCCAATTTCGATAATTTATCCATTTAAACAGAATAGAAATAAATAAGTAATTTCTATTAAATATATCAATAAATGAACTATTACAATGATCCAAAATAGTTCAAGTTTCGCAATGCATCACTTGGCGATAACAGTGCAACTGTGCACATCATCATCACCAGACTCAGATGATATCCCGGAAGAAGTTCGCAATGTCAGCTGTCAAAATATATAAATACAGTAGAGTTTAGCTCTTGAGAGAAGAGAGATGAGGAAGAGTGAAGAAAGTTAAAATGATGAAGAAGAAAATGAAAATTAAGCTACATTCAATAAGTTAAGCAACGAATAGATAGATATTATTAACATGTGATACCAAAAAATAAAAAATAAAAAAATAAAAACAAAAAAATTAGAAAAAAATAAACAAAAAAAGTCAAAGAAATCCTTATATTTCTTTTTCAATACAAATACGCAAAATTAAAATCAGTCTCATTCGATCATAGTTAATTTTTCAAAGCCACCAACCTTCTTGTGTTGTGAATTTAGATGTGAAAATAATGTATGCATGTATGTAGACATGTGTTTGTGTGTATGTGTATGTGTGTGTGTATGTGTATGTGTGTGTGCATGTGTATGTGTGTGTATGTGTATGTGTATATGTGTATGTGTATGCGAGTATGTGTATGCATGTGTATGTGTGTGTATGTGTGTATGTATATGTGTATATGTGTATGCGTGTGTATGTGTGTGTATGTGTGTGTATGTGTATTGCGTATGTGTATGTGTATATATGTGGGAGTATGTGGGTGTATGTCGGTGTATGTATGTATGTGTATACACATAAATGCACACATACACACGTATGTGTATGTGTGCATTTTTTTCCTGCAAAGTCACCATTAAAAAATATGTTCGTTTTCTTTCTATCATCACATCGTCAATTCTTTCGATACAATTTTTGAAATAAAAACATATTTTTCCCGATTAAACAAGAATTTTCAAAAAAAAAAAAAGAAACGATGGCTTGTCGTAACCACTGCATTTTCTCTATGATACATGTCAAACCGGTCGACAATCAATATTTTCCACATTGCTCTACAAAGTAATTAATACAGTAGGTTATATTACAGAAAAAGAAATAAATTGGGGAAAACTATGCGGAATTGAAAAAAAAAAAAGTAACAGATCGATGAAAATATATAGAGCTGCTTGAAATATGTAATAACTTACAAAATTTGCTGAAATGATCTTAAATTAATTAATAAATAAAAATTAAAAAATTCCAAACGAAAAAAAAAAAAGGTAGAAAAGCAGAAAGAAATATGGGAATGAGTAAAGAAAATTACATATGATAACTAATTGATACAACAAGCAAAGTGGCTCAATAACATCCAACCAATCATCTCTTTAACAAATTTTTCCTCTTATCTTTGCTTTATACCACATCAACCGATCAATAAAATTGTTCATTCATTAGACTTCTGAAAATTTTTCTAAACGAAAAAAAGAGGAAGAAAAATGAAGCCGCCATTTGCAAAATGACAATCATCCACCCCATCCTCCACGCATCAATTCACCTATCAATGTGTCTTTCTTTTCTTCTCTCTACCTTTTTCAAAAAAAAAAAAAGGAAGAAAGAAAAGAAATTTACACACTTAAGAATAAAAAATAACAAAAAAAAAATGAAACTAAAATAATAAAAACATTTAATATAGGATTTTAAAACTTCACAAAATTACTCGTTAAAATAAAAAAAAGAAAAAAAAAACTTAGTATTAGTCTACAATAAAAATGTTTAAAAAAACTAAAATAAACTTTTCCACCAAAACAACTGTTAATATTACAATATCACTTATTTGATCTAAACAATTTTTATCTTTTGTCTATTGTTTACACCATTTTTCTTATTGACAACATAGCTATATCGTGATAGTAAATAAAAAAAAAGAATGAAAAATTGGCTTACAAAAAAAAGACGGATATTTATACAAACGAAATGGAAGGATTATCGTACAGGATGATCGGATTAAAGTGCAAACTCGTATAAGTATAATATCTCAAACTTTTTATTTTCATGTTATGCGTAATTTTTTTTTTGTTCTATCAAGAAGTAATTCACTATCTAACATTTTGAAAACATAAAATCAAAATTATTGATTAAATTAAACATTTAACGGAAGTGATGTTTTGAAATGAAATTCATGGATTGTATAATTTTTAATCATATAACTTTAGCTTTAAAGCAGTTTTATAATTTCGATTCTCATTAGCAATTCAGAAGGCTAACTGTAAAAAATAATTAACTAAAGTATGCTTGTCAATGATGTTAACTGACAACTGTTATTAATGATCAACTAAAACATAAACTGATAAATAAAGGATATTCATCTTCTTCTCTCTTCTTCCGCAAATTTGGGAAAAAAAATTCTTACGCATTTCACGTTACAAATTTCATAACAACCATATAATGATTATTATCACAATTAAATTATTGTAAATTTATTCAAAATTTACATCGAAATGCGCCAAGATAATTTCCCTCACTTTTCCGTATTTGAAAAGAAAAAAGATTAACATCATATGCCAATTCATCCAAAAATACATTTCTTAAAGTTTAATTTCATTCAAGAAAATGAAAAACAAATGGGGAAAATTTATTCATACTTTTTGACGGAATTTATAAATTGAAATAATGCAAACACCTTCTTTTTTTGATAACGAACAATTACAGGCCAGACATGAATTTATACAATTCATCCCATCAATCATTAAAACTTCTGCTTCATTGAACGATTTCCTAAGGCAAATAGTAAACAATTTGGATAAATTAATCAAAATAAGCTAACAAATGAAAAGTCGCAAAAGTCTTCCATCGCATATGTCACCACATTAAATAGAGAGCAATTAATTTGAGAGATTAAGGAAGGCCTAAAGAGATCATAAGCAGCATCCATACATAAAAGCCTTAATCTAAGCATATACAATTAAACAAAAGAAAGCTTTTCAAACAACAGTTCAAAATCAATTATTTGAATTGTAATTAAGTGAAAAAAAGAGACCATATATCGCTTCTTCAATTTTTCATTAGCTTCAGCAAAATATTTTTATAGATAAATATGCATGTTTTTTATACAGAAACGACATACAGAAGAAAGAATGAAAACAAAAAAAAAAGGAATTAATTGAAGTAAGTGTCCAGCAAATATAAAAACTAATCGCTAAAAAGTAACAGAAAGAAAGGGGAACAAAAAAAGCGAGAATAAATCTAATATTATAAAAATA